CGCCCTGGCACTTTTGATCAATTGCTAACGTCACGTATCAGTAAAGTCTCGTGTGAATAAGTTCACGTGTTTGTAAACCGTAACTCTCGCGAGATCACGTTGTGAAGTGATTGGTCATTAATTATCCTGATAAAGGCGACAGTGGTCGCTGAAAATTTGATCTCTGTAAACTGCGTGTTGGAATTAAGTTTAACGTTTTACTAAGACCTAGAAATTATTAGATTTTAGGCCCCCTGGAGGCTTGTGTTTTACTGCAGCAGAACGTCCGGTTTTGATATCTCATGATCTGGACATGCTATGGTCATGAATTTTTGTATGGTATATAGATCTTGGGCTAGGGAAAAAGTGACGTGATTTTGGGCCCACTAGCGGCTTGTTCTGGAACTGCAGGAGCGTTTGTTGAAAAATCCTCGAAAGATTAATGAGGAAATTCTATAGATCTTCTTTGTTCATAATAGGACTATGAAACACTTGAGAGCACGAAAAACATGTTAGGATATAGAATATTCAACTGAAGACCTAATTTGCATAATTAATGTGAAATTGTTAGAATTTCATACTCGCCGCATTTTATATTAAATTGCCGCATGACGTTAAGTGAAGGTAAACGTCGATAAACATAATTTGCATAATTTATGAGAAAGTGCTAGAATGAACCCAAAATCGAATGCTCTACTTTGCAAACTATATTTAATTGTTGTGTACGGGTTTGTGGGGGCCTAGAAACCTCTGGATATTTTAGATACCGTGCAGTGCAAACTTCTATTTTCCGACGTTATGAAACATGGTGATATTGTTAGGTGTATCTGTGTGCCTGTCTATTTATTTGGGTTCTAAAAAAATTATGGTCGGTTTAACTTAAGAAGGCCTTAATGTATAATTATGATGGTATTTGGCTTGGGTAGACAAAGGCCATTTCAAACGTCATCCTGGTGGCTGGTATAAGCCAGAACATATATCAGTAACTAGTTTGCATTTCGGAATGCTCAGTGGCGAGTCTAACATTCGGCTCTGCAAGCCGGACAACAACGGGCCATTCTGCTATGATACCATGCTAAGATACCAGACAAACATTGGGAGCTACAAGCCGGGCAACACCGGGCCATTCTGTCTTTTTACTAACTATCGCTAGATGGCGTTGTTGATAGGTGAATCTATTTCGCCATATGTCGCTAGATGTCGCTGTTCGACAATGCATGATACACGATATCTTAAGCGAAATATCAGCAATTGTAAGAGTATTAGGAAAAGATTTAGAGTAAAACATTATAGCTTTAGATGATATGAGCAAGGGCAATCAATAATATTGTGCTTTCACTGGCTGTTGAACACACAATTAGACTGAGAAATTATGAATATTATGCAACCGCTGTCGTCGCACCTCTCCCCCCTCCCCGGAATTCGTTGGTGGCGTGGAAACAGGTTGCTTTCCAACAAATGCCAAATTATACGTGATTTTTTTTCTCCTGATGTCGGTTATTAGGTCCCAAATTGTCTAAAAAGGCACAAAATCGGACGCGGCGAGGGTCTGTAGCTATCGACGCAAAGCACATGGCGGCCGCAAAATTTCTGACAAAATCGGTAACGCGGCAGAAAAATATCCGATACATTATAGCATGATATATTACACTGATAGCGCGTCAAAATGCCAGTTTTTCTGTGAAAGCACTTGTTTTTCTTATCAAGGATTGAATCTGACAAATCTTTTTTTTTTTTAATTGCAGCGCAGTATGATGTATAAAGCAATCCGCCGCGTCTGTAAAAGCCGATTGGTAGTCCTAATTTTCGGAATCGTCATTGGCGGTTGGGCTATACAGATATTCACCGTTCAGAAAGTTCAGTATGTCAAAGAACCCCAAAAGGACGCCAAGGATTTCCCAACAAGCCCCAACAGACTGATACAGGCCTATCACGGTCCGACGGAGCCGAGACACCACCCCAAAGACCCCCAATGGTTGAAAGGAAGGTCTTGAAAATTTAAAGTACCACAATTTGCCACAAAATAAAGTATATTTAACTCAATCTTTCACCCGTAACACCGAATTCTAGGTTATTGGGTTTTTAGTAAATGACAATGAAATTGACTATTTATTATGGCTCTGTGGTAAGGTCATACTGTTATGACTTCACCACATAGATACGCATAACTTTATTGTGGTAAAGTCATAACAATATGACTTCACCACAGTAAAGTTATGTGCGTGTCTTTATCAATTTAAATTTGATAATGCCACACTAATTTGTTTGTTTGCTTGTTTGTTTTTTATTAGATCTCCATTAGTGTTCAACTGACCACTATTCTTCCTGGAGTCCACATAAAATTAAAAATCATAACAACAGAAATGTACAGAATTCAACACAAAATTAACATAAATTGAATAATTTAAAATAATTAACATAATTAAGTAACATAAGCTAAGTTCGAATCAGAGTGATCACTGACATTATAAAAGTAACATAATTAAGTAACATAAGGTTAGTTCGAAATCAAATTAATAATCAGTAAATGTAGTCAACTATGAAACAAATTAACAACAAAAATCTCTTGATTAAACAAATTGTTCTGCCTGGCTGACATTGATAATAAAACCACTTTAAGGTGCTTTTGCATGTTTATTGCAGTCCCCTATCCGCTGGCCAGGGAAGAAAAATCTTACTTGACCGCGGTGCCAACGTGGCGTCCACAGTACAGCTCTTCAGAGAGACCTACCCTGGTGGTCATGACTTCATCATACACTCCTTTGAAATAGACGAGAGACTGGCGCCGTTTTTCGCACCGTACCCGAATCACGTGCTACATTGTCCCACTGGGGTGTCGAACAAGGACGGTGAGTAGACAAGAGAGATGAATAGTCTCCTACAAATTTATTTGAAAATTATATCTCTCTAAGAATACCATCAATCTTAACGTTGCCATTTGGACGTCGAGCGGTCACTAACATCGCCGATCCAGCGGCTTTCCTCCATACATATTTCGTTTCATTTCGTTCCATTTCGTTCCATTTCGTTCCATTCCATTTCGTTCCATTTCGTTTCATTTCGTTCCATTTCGTTCCATTTCGCACTTTCTGGGGTCCCCTGGAAAGGGAAGTCTAGTTTGGATGACTGTTCCATAGAACACACATATGATCAATATCAGGGCATGCGTTAGGTCGTAGAATTCTGCCAGAGATGAGTAGCTCGAAAGGATCTCCAGATTTAGACTCGAAATGTAAATTTGTCAGAAAACTGCCAGAAATATATTACTAATAAAACAATTCTAAAAGCCTGTATCAGAGAAATGAAAAAAAGGCCTAGGAGTATATTGCCGAATTTTACGTCACTTGGCCTTTGAAATAAATAAACTGAATCTATTTAACATAAAAAATGTAGATATGATTAATTTGTACTAATACACCATCCTCTGAAAATTTGGTGGTCATACGACATACCGTTCTCAAGTTCTGAGGTCAAATGACCCCTCCCTCGGCCCACCAAGCCCAAAACGCCCGGTCTAGATAGGGTTAAAGAATTTGCTGGATCTAAAAGAAGAAGAAGAAAAATTAGGAAAAACAACATGGCTTCACCACACCACTACATGATGTAATCATACCAATGATTTATGATTTATGTAGCTACAGTCAATCATACGTACATATAATTGACAAATTGGGCAAGTAAAGGAATTCATTGTATTCTGTCCACACTTCTAGCTACTCTCAGGTCCTTGTGAAGTGTGATGTGCATATATGAAATGTTACCTGTCTATTATACTGTAGCTGTCATTTTTTTATGCAAGATACATCCATATCATAATTTCCATATGAACATATATAACGTGTCTACAAATGTGTATCTTATTTCTGTAATTAGTGACATTGATGGTTTGTTACTACTTAGTGAAATGTACGAGATCGTGGAACTAGTTGTTCTATATTCCGTCACTAGGAAACATGACAGCTTACCTTGAATCTGCCTGGTCACCGGACAAAGGTAGGGTTAGCAACAGAGACATGCAGTGGGGCGGCGGGACACTCTTCGCTTGGGACTCTGAGAAAGCGGACACTGAGACGGGCGGCCGCCGGAAATTGTCCCTTCGCCCGACTGTTCCGACAGTCGACCTGTCCCGATGGATTCAGGAGAACACCGCGGTGGAAGACTACGTTATATTCAAGCTTGACGTTGAGGGGGCAGAGTACGACATCTTAAAGAAGATGCTGGCAGACGGAACCTTTAAGTGGGTTGACAAGTGAGTTTCATTTGCCGTGCTGTTCTGATTTGACTGCCATGATAACAAGATATGCTTCTCTTGTATTTGGCAGACCATAGCAAAGGCATGCACCTTAACCCTCATTCGACCCAGGGGTATATTTCTATGTGCCTTTTAAACATTTTTGATCGAAATGCATTTGATTTTGTGCTCATATCTCTTTTTACCTTCGCCCAAAAGTTAATGTTTTTGTATCTGTGTGACCGTGGGCGGGGGTGGGGTGACTCTCTGCCAACACGATAACTTGAGAAGACTTAAATGGATTGCCTTGATTTTTAAAAGGTGGGTAGGTCGTAATGAAAGTTCGAGATGCTTGGATTTTGCCCCCCCCCCCCTTGACGATTTGTTATGGTACTACAGAAGAACTTCCTGTTTTAATATTAGACAAACTAGGGTCACAACATATAGCACTTGTGCTGGGAAAGAAGTGACGTGAGTTTAGCCCTCCTAGCACCTTGCTCTCGAACTGCAGGGGTATTTGGTGGAAAATATCTAACGGTTGATAACACAAGAACCGGTTAATGAATAAATAAATGAAGACCTTTATTGTAAATTTTGCCCCACTGGGCTAAGCACAGGTCACATAATTACAGACATATACATATACATATAACTGATACAGTAAACGTCTAATGTATTGTACTCTTATTGACTTCCGCTCGCTCCTTAGTAACTGTATAAATATCCGAGGCTATATGACTATCTATATTTGGTTTATCAAAGATTAATAGGAATATTAATTTCTCTTTAATTCTCATGTATCGGAAGTGGGGAAATATACTCAATACATGATCAAAAAGATGCGTCACTGTTATATAAAGTACAATTCACTGCAAAATGTATTTCTTCCTCTATGTAAACTACAAATTTGGCATTAAAACCATTAAGTTTTACGAGAATGACCTAGCTTTACGGTTAGCCAATAAAATGACATAAATGACGTCATAATGACGTAACATTACATCATGATTGCTGTTATGATTTATCTATACTAGTATACCATCCTAATATTTGCTGGACATACGATATACCGTTCATGAGTTCTGAGGGGGGGGGGTCCTCTTATCCCAACAAAAGGGTTAAAACCCGAACTATGTTCGATCTTGTTTGATCTGGGTTATTTAAACCGCAACGTGTGCTCCATTTGAAGTCGCCCCTGGTTATTCATAGTAAACAAAGCCTAGCCTTTACCCCTTCGTAGCCTCGAATTGGGAAAAAATCACTTGTCGTGTAGGCAAAAATTTTGTCGTGGACATGTACGACATGTAACATGTAGCAAAGTTACCGTCGAAGTCGTGGTAGACCTTACCTATATCGGAATAACTTGCGTTCAAACAACGGTTAACAATTAAAACATGGAAGGTACAACATACCTCATTAAATGCTCAATAGTAGCTAGTATGCTCACATTGATGTTTTTTAATGCACGCAGGTATTACGGCGAGTATCACCCCACTCAACCTGTGACAGGCTGGAATGAAGAAGAGATGCTCAAACTTAAGTCAGAAGTAAATACAAAAGGCAAACATATGCTGGTGTGGAAAGGCGAGCTCAGAACATACCAAGACTTTAACACCATGAACCCACCATTGGTTAGTTGCACGATGCATTCAAGTATAATCGAATGTATAGATTTAAAAATGCATTTTCAACATCAATTTGGTTGTATATCGCTGTTTGGGGGGGGGTAGGAGCAGTAGTTTTGACGTGTCCTCTGTTTATGTTTTTTTTTTTGTTAATTTTTTTGGCGGAATTTTCATCTCAAGTCTTGGGATGATTTTTCCTTTCCTTTTTTTTCAGATTGTCTGGATTGTAGAAAAAAATGAACTCGTTAACCCGCAGCCTTTTTACAGTTTTTATTTAATAGAGACCATTTTGTGTCATCATCGTGCAGTTTTTTCTGTATAACAAGTAATCAAATGCTACAATGAAACATAGCGAAAGAACATAGGACTTTTTTTTAGCTAGGGCCCAGTTCAGGCTCAGCCTTGCTTGGATTTTGCACACACACACCCCCCACACACCCAACCAATGATATAAGTGCAGAATATAACAAGGAAAATCGTAGATTTTGTACCTCCGGGTATTGAAATGTGTGTTGCAGAATGTTGGGTGCATGTTGGGACTGTTCTTTAAATTAGTGAATTCGCGCGAATACCATTTTTTCGAAAAGTTTCGAAATGTTTGTAATTGGCTAAATGATCTGTGAAATCACTAATCCCCCTAGCCGACTGGAGCCCAAAAATAGAAAGGACAAGGGGCATCCCGTGGCGAATCTGGCTGCCCGACCCTCAGCGACCAGCGATAATGTAAACAAACACCCGCTCCGGGCGCCAGCCGCCAATCGTCCGGTGCGCGTGTTACCCTTCTAACATGTAAGTAAGACCATGTTGATTTGATTATATGGATGACATCCTCTGGAAACCCCAAAACTGATGCGCGCGTGCGAATAGTAAAATCTGAGCTTTTTATTGTATACTTTTATATGTTGTTTGTTATATACATGTAGTTGATGGTGTTGAATTTTATGTGTTAGATTTAGCCTTCCTGGTTGTGTTAACACAGGTCAGTATTTTCATCTGCAGCCTATAACATGTACCCACGAACGGGCCGCCACGAACTTATGCCACAAGGAACTCGTAATGAAACTCAGAATGACAACCGGAGCCGTTAAATGGAATCAGACGTTAAAAATAACTAGCTGAAGTACCTCCCCGCATGTGCAAGTCATCCTTATTGTCACTTCCTCCATTTTCCGCCGATTCTTCGTATAAATTGGGGAAGTAAAGGTCTGAATCCGCGGTATTTGTAAGTTAGAAGTCGTAATATACGCCGAAAACAACCAACACAAAGGTTGCGCAACAGTACGTTGACCCCTGACCCATTGGCTAACCAGGAAGTGCCGATTACGTGTCCTGTGAACGCGTACTAAAGTATCCCCCCAGCGGGTCCCACCAGGCACGATAATGAGACGTTGATTGACGGCACATGTGGTTCACATCTGAACAGTTTTTAAAGAAAGAATTTATCGACAATGCTGACACCCCTCTGTGTGAAAGGTCAGATCAGTGGTCGCGACCTCAATCGTCCTTATACATGCAAAGGTCAAAAGCTGAGGCCCACTTTCACACTGAAAGGGGTGTCCATCGGCGGTCTAAACGCATCATTTTGACGCACTAAAACACACATACTAAAAAACCAAAACAACGTGCACCATCTACAGCCCAACAGCAAAACGTATACCAAGTCCCAGACATATCCGTCCACCCAAACGCGAGAAACGGGTGCGAACGCAATTTTCGTCTTCCCTCACAAAACCTCCGCGCTCGGGATATACATCCCTACCCGGAGGTAATTAATGAAATTCATTCATTCATTCATTCATACAGATTGCTTAGGCTGGGTTATAATAATATATTGATGAAGATCTTCAAAATAAAGCAAACAAATCAGGAAGAAACGTCGATGAAGGTTAGACACCCAGGTAATACGATACGCCAAAAAACAGTTACTCAAGCAACTGGACATGATTTTGAAAACGTCAGACATTTCAGCTAGTATCCACTAGCTTTCGTCAGTGACTGAGAGACCAGAGGGCAAAGCAGGTTTATAAGCACAACCTATTGATAGATATGCAAATAAAGTGAAGACAAATTTTTGGAAGTTGAAAACTCCCAGCCCCGAGGACAGACAACACTTAGGCTCCTGTTCTGTATAACAGAAGTCTTTCAGACTAATTTGCATCATCTTGTCTTGACTTGTCTGACTTTTGTTCCTTTTCGACTTCCAAAATTTGTCTTCACTTTATTTGCATATCAATCAATAGGTTGTGCTTATAAACCTGCTTTGCCTTCTGGTCTCTCAGTCACTGACGAAAGCTAGTGGATACTAGCTGAAACGTCTGACGTTTTCAAAATTATATCCAGTTGCTTGAGTAACTGTTTTTTGGCAAATCAGGAAGAAAACAAATCATGTTGCAGTTCTCATGGTTTTAGTTTTATACTACTTTTATGCCATTGCTAGGATCATTCGTTCACAATATAGAAAGTATAAACATGATCAACCTGGGTTGTATTTCATGTAATAGAATTTAAACGATGATGCTCTTTTTTTTACCTTTTTTTACCATTTTTCATTAAAGGTACCCGACAGTTTTGTTGGATCTCCAAGCACAGTCTACTCTAGCTGCCATGCTGCAGTCTCTGGTCAAGCCCTCCTGACATTGGCTGTTTTGGTCGGCATGAACGCCAAGGCGGCACACAAGTTGATAGCGACAATAGCAGCTCATTCGAGCAGGATGCCGGTCACGCTCTTCCTCTATGGAGACTTTGTCGAAACGTTTCCTGAACTGGTGACGGAATGGGCCAAAATTTTTACAATAGGCATGCGCGAGGTAAGGCTTTATTTTGGACGGTATGTGCAAACAATCGACCTGTTACTTGATACTTTATACTTTACTCGGATATCTATTAGTTACACAAATTTTGACACTATGACACGCATAGACTGAATATGGAGGATAAAGAATTATTGTTTTATTCACTAATGGGTGCGGGATTTTCGAGGTGGTGCTTTTTCTTCACACACACACACACACACACACACACACACACAAAACACATACACACACACATATCAGATTATTTTACGCAACTTTTGTTTCATCTGCAGAACCAGCCATTTCCGCTAGGAGACTTTTCGCAACAGGCATCGAACTGGATCCGGCTTACCAACTGGAAGTTAGCAGCCCTTTCGGCAGCCCATTCGAGCAGCCCATTCGAGCAGCCGATTCAAGCTTACAGGAAAGCTAGCATCCTATTCGTGTTTATACATTCGTTTCTCTTTTTTTTTATTTAGTACATTTGAACGGATTTTGGGACGTGGATGTATACAGACTGTATATACCTTCAGTTATTTGTCGATTAGGGGCTTTTGCTGAAGCTTAAAGACAACAAAACAAACAATTTTGAAAATAAGCTATAAGAGCCACACCTACCGGAGAGCATGCAGGGCGTTCTGTAATTGAACCAAACATGGCCCGTGAACTTGAAAAACTGATAATTAGCTTTAGACACAGGTTATCAGCTAAAACTATTATATTGGACAAGCCATGTTTGATAAAGGAGCCACGGCTGGACTAATTGAGTAAAATGAGGTAAGAAAATGGGCTGCTATACGGATTGCAAGCATAAAGAAAGTCTTCCTGCCATTCGAACTAAATGTGGCCCGTTAACTTGAAAGACGGACTATGATAGCCAATGACCAAGTCTATGTAATGAAAGTATCACATTTAACGGGCCAGATTTGATTAAGGCGCAACAGCGATACTTATGGGAAGGGGGGGGGGGTACAAGGCGTGTGGAACATGGCGGTCAAATGGGCCATCTGAATCGGCTGCTGGGAGGGTTAAAAATCAATCTGCCGTCAAAACTAAACGTGGCCCGTTAAATTCAAAGATTGATAATGATAGTCATGGGTCTAGACTATCTACTAAACGTGTCGAATTCAACGGACCGGATTTAATTAACGAGGCACGACGGCAGTTAATGAGTTAGAGAAGGCAGAATTTCAAATCTCCCGCCGCATTTGCATACATACAGAGAAAAGTTCATCGCCTGCGCCGAATAAAACGCGGCCCGTAAACTTTAAAGACGGATTACGATAGCCAACGACCAAGACTACGTACTAAGCATGTCAAATTCAACGGGCCGGATTTAATAAATTAGTCAGAGCGGACTATTTTAGTGCAAGACGTCAGATTTTAAACTTCCCGCCATTTCCATATACACAGAGAAAAGGCTATTATATGAACTAAACTAAATGGGGCCCTTCATTTGAAAGACGGATTATGATAGCCATCGACCAAGTCTATGTAATGAAAGTATCACATTTTACGGGCCGGATTTGATTAACGCGCAACAGCGATACTTATAGGAGGTGGGGGGGGGGTACAAGGCGTGTGGAACATGGCGATCAAATGGGCCATCTGAATCGGCTGCTGGGAGGGTTAAAATCAATCTGCCGTCAAACTAAACGTGGCCCGTTAAATTCAAAGATTGATACTGATAGCCATAGGCCTAGACTATCTTCTAAACGTGTTAAATTCAACGGGCCAGATTTAATCAACGAGGCACGACGGCAGTTAATGAGTTAGAGAAGGCAGAATTTTAAATCTCCCGCCGCATTTGCATACATACAGAGAAAAGTTCATCGTCTGCGCCGAATTAAACGCGGCCCGTAAACTTTAAAGACGGATTACGATAGCCAACGACCAAGACTACGTACTAAACATGTCAAATTCAACGGGCCGGATTTAATAAATTAGTCAGAGCGGGCTATTTTTTTGCAAGACTTCCAATTTTAAACTTCCCGCCATTTCCATATACACAGAGAAAAGGTCATTATATGAGCTGAACTAAATTAGGCCCGTTCATTTGAAAGACGGATGATGATAGCTAACGACCAAGTCTATGTAATGAAAGCATCACATTTAACGGGCCGGATTTGATTAACGCGCAACAGCGATACTTATGGGAGAAAAGCAGCGTCAGACGCTACGCGGCACACAATTCTAATCGAGAACTTGAACCTTTAAATAGTAGATCACATTAAACTACTAGTAACCTAGAATTTATAGTGTAAGTATACTTAGCTTGTAAGTGCATAAATGTACATTAAAGGTCTTTCATTCATTGTTGGCAGGAACAGAAACATTGTTTTTGTACAGCTTCAATAAAAAATACAAGAAAAACATTGATTTCAACACGTTAGGCCGTTTTCCCCTTCGTCCCTGGCTGCGCTGGCTACTTAGTTAAATCCGGCCCGGTCAGCAAAATGCGGGTCTATATTTGCAAGAAGCAAACGTATCTGTAGCACATCAATAAAATCAGACCTAATACGTCTAGACTAGTAGACACTCTAGCTATCATTATCAGTTTTTCAAGTTCAAGGGCCATGTTTAGTTGAGTAGCAGACAGACCTTTCCTCTGGTCCTTTTTTCAAGGCCCAGTTGCTGCATTGACGGGGGCTGACTATATCTTAATTTGCCGTAAAATATGCCAATTACACGCCGTGTGTTTCAGGTCGCCATGTCAAAAAAGGGATGGCCACGTGTGTCAGGGGTATTCCGACTGAATGAACCAAGATGTCCCTCCAATGTAAACAGCTTTACGCGATCTTTTCCATCAGCACCAGATCAGCACGACAAATCATGGAAAGGGCTAAAACGCATCTTAATCCTCACATTGAAAAAAAGCATGGAAATGGGAACAAATATACTACAGGCGCACATGACTCATCGTCACACAACGGACAGTATTGAAACTGTGACGTCTAAAATAAAAAAGACCAATAATCTGTAAAGTAGATTGCCTTGTATTTGTAACGGCCAAGGGAAACTCATTATTTTTAATCCAAACTGATCAACCAGATATTTATTTCCATGTGGCGATCATACAATCGCTGGGATCTGTAGATAGAGAACGTGTGTGATGAGAAGCACGTGGAATTTGGTGTGAAACAATGATTCCCTTCTGGTAGTGCTGACATAGGAATTTGACAAATGACTGCATCCCGCCTTGGAGCAGAGCGGAAAATTTCCTTATCAGTGATCATCTTCTTTCTGTAAGCAATTAGCCTGGGTGCCAATCCCATAGCACACTGGACACAACGTCTCAGTGAGCCATCAATCACAGCTTCTCCTCCCTATGGCTATGCTGGAGAGCCCTTCCTAGCCTACCAGACCCAGGCTCACTGAGATTTTGTGTCCAGTGTGCTATGGGGTTTGGCACCCAGGGTAGTAAGCCATGGACTAGATGGGTTAAGCAAAATTCTTTATCGCTGTTTCAAGTTTACGGACCAGAGGGCATTCCCGCGGTTTGTGTAGACGTATCAAAACAGGCAGGAAATTTGAAATCGACTGCTAGACTGACTAAACGTGGCCACGTTTAGTTCAATGGCAGGAGGACTTTCCCGACGCCTCCAATCGGTATATAGCAGCCGGTTTGTTTTGACCTCTTTCATTAATCAATCCCGCCATAGCTCCTTAATGAAATCCAGCCCGTTCAATTTCAAAGTTTAGGCAGATACTCTTGACCGTTTGTTATCATTCTGTATCTTAAAAGTTTATGGGCCACGTTTAGTTCAATGGCAGAAAGACATTTCCAATGCCGGCATTCCGTATAGAATGTCTTTCTGTCATTAAACTAAACGTGGCAGGTGAACTTGAAGGAATCAAAATGATACATGACAAGCCCGAGTATCTATTAGAATTGTTAGATTTGACGGGCCGGATTTAGTATATGAGCAACAAGTAGGTTTTGTCTATTAGCAGCTAGGTAGACCTTCTCTCCAGCTGTAAAGGCGGGAAATTTGAAACCAGAATAACAAATTTCGTTCCAATGTGGTGCCCTAATTAAATCCGGCCCGTTCAATTTGATACTTTAAAAGGATAGTCTGGGTCTTGAGCTACCATTCTCAATCTGTGAAGTTAAAAGACCACGTTTAGTTCAATGGCAGGAAGACTTTCCCCATCCCAGCAATCCGTATCATGAGCAGCCGTTTTCCTTATCCTTTTCCCTCAATTAGTCCCGCCTTAAGTACTTAATTAAATCCATCCCATTCAATGAAATAGTTTTAGCTAACAATCTGAAGCTTGAGCTATCGTTATCGATGTTTCAAGTTTACGGGCTGCGTTTAATTCGGCGCAGACGATGAACTTTTCTCTGTATGTATGCAAATGCGGCGGGAGATTTGAAATTTTGCCTTCTCTAACTTATTAACTGCCGTCGTGCCTCGTTAATTAAATCCGGCCCGTTGATCTTGACACGTTTAGTAGATAGTCTAGACCTATGACTATCAGTATCAATCTTTGATTTTAACGGGCCACGTTTAGTTTGACGGCAGATTGATTTTTAACCCTCCCAGCAGCCGATTCAGATGGCCCATTTGACCACCATGTTCCACACGCCTTGTACCTCCCCCCCCCCTCCCATTAGTATCGCTGTTGCGCGTTAATCAAATCCGGCCCGTTAAATGTGATACTTTCATTACATAGACTTGGTCGATGGCTATCATAATCCGTCTTTCAAATTAACGGGCCTCATTTAGTTCAGTTCACAGTGCGAGAATTGAACTTTATAGACGAATAACATCAATGTTTCCCCACTTTACACACCTAAGTAATACAGACAAATTCACATTTTTAATGAACTTAGACAAACCCTCGATCCTTAAACTTGTATGTTCTTATCTTTTCAACATCACAGAGAAGCGAAGAGAAGTCGAAATTATGTAACAGACTGTAGTGCTAGTACTAGACTGATCTTGTTGTGTATATATTTGTGTATTCAAGTTAACCTTTGTACCTAACCCAGTGGGTATGTTTGTACAATAAAGGTCTTCATTCATTATAATGACCTTTTCTCTGTGAATATGGGAATGGCGGTAAGTTTAAAATCTCGAAGTCTTGCACTAAAATAGTCCGCTCTGACTAATTTATTAAATCCGGCCCGTTGAATTTGACATGTTTAGTACGTAGTCTTGGTCGTTGGCTATCGTAATCCGTCTTTAAAGTTTACGGGCCGCGTTTAATTCGGCGCAGACGATGAACTTTTCTCTTTACGTATGCAAATGCGGCGGGAGATTTGAAATTCTGCCTTCTCTAACTCATTAACTGCCGTCGTGCCTCGTTAATTAAATCCGGCCCGTTGAATTTGACACGTTTAGTAGATAGTTTAGACCTATGACTATCAGTATCAATCTTTGAATTTAACGGGCCACGTTTAGTTTGACGGCAGATTGATTTTTAACCCTCCCAGCAGCCGATTCAGATGGCCCATTTGATCGCCATGTTCCACACGCCTTGTACCTCCCCCCCCCTCCCATTAGTATCGCTGTTGCGCGTTAATCAAATCCGGCCCGTTAAATGTGATACTTTCATTACATAGACTTGGTCGATGGCTATCATAATCCGTCTTTCAAATTAACGGGCCTCATTTAGTTCAGCTCATATAATGGCCTTTTCTCTGTGTATATGGAAATGGCGGGAAGTTTAAAATTGGAAGTCTTGTAAAAAAATAGCCCGCTCTGACTAATTTATTAAATCCGGCCCGTTGAATTTGACATGTTTAGTACGTAGTCTTGGTCGTTGGCTATCGTAATCCGTCTTTAAAGTTTACGGGCCGCGTTTAATTCGGTGCAGACGATTAACTTTTCTCTGTACGTATGCAAATGCTGCGGGAGATTTGAAATTCTGCTTTCTCTAACTCATTAACTGCCGTCGTGCCTAGTTAATTAAATCCGGCCCGTTGAATGTGACACGTTTAGTAGATAGTTTAGGCCTATGGCTATCAGTATCAATCTTTGAATTTAACGGGCCACGTTTAGTTTGACGGCAGATTGATTTTAACCCTCCCAGCAGCCGATTCAGATGGCCCATTTGATCGCCATGTTCCACACACCTTGTACCCCCCCCCCCTCCCATAAGTATCGCTGTTGCGCCTTAATCCAATCCGGCCCGTTAAATGTGATACTTTCATTACATAGACTTGGTCGTTAGCTATCATCATCCGTCTTTCAAATTAACGGGCCTCATTTAGTTCAGTTCATATAATGACCTTTTCTTTGTGTATATGGGAATGGCGGGAAGTTTAAAATCTGACGTCTTGCACTAAAACAGTCCACTCCGACTAATTTATTAAATCCGTCCCGTTGAATTTGACATGTTTAGTACGTAGTCTTGGTCAAAATCCGTTCAAATGTACTAAATAAAAAAAAGAGAAACGAATGTATAAACTCGAATCGGATGCTAGCTTTCCTATAAGCTTGAATCGGCTGCTCGAATGGGCTGCTCGAATGGGCTGCCGAAAGGGCTGCTAACTTCCAGTTGGTTCCGGCTTGGTCTGGTCAGTGCCATACAGCGCCTGAGTGAAGTTGGCCTACAACCAGCATTTTACTTTCCCGAGAACATTACAGACATGTTGATAGAAGTAGCCAAAGATCGGGGTCTGAGGATTATCCAACCGACAGGTCGCTTCCCTCCAACTGACGGTATTTGTATTAGATTTTTACCCTCACCAAGAAGGTTACGTTTTCGGAAGCATGCGTACAATGTATGCGCGTGCTTGTGTGTGTATTGTGTGTGTGTGTGTGTGTGTGTGTGTGTGTGTGTGTGTGTGTGTGTGCGTGCGTGTGTTAGTCTATCTATTCGGTGTATGAACAAAACTGAAGGTGGATTTAATTGACTGATTGACTGTTTTCGTAAAGCAAGTCTTGAGAAGACATCGAACCGAGGTGTTCTAACTTCTAGTCTTGCTGGGCCAACCTATCATGAAAAGACCCCACGTTGGGTCGTGTGGCGCAGTCGGTTGGGCGTTCGAGTCACGCCCAAGAGGTCGCGGGTTCGAACCGTGCCCATGTCACCGATCTTGTGCCTTGGGAAAGACTTTCCTCACTTAACTCAGGTTGAAATGAGTACCTACCTTTGGTTAGGGACGTCCCTCGGATAGGAGGTTAAATGGAGGTCCCGTGTTTGGGGATAGCCACACCCCACGCACGTTAAAAAACCCACCGCACTTATTGAAAAGAGTAGGGGACCTTCCCGGTGTGAAAAACGCAGCTTGTACATGTGCGCACATGTACAAAACCGGTGTGTTACCCCTAAAGGCGGTTTACCGGTTATGCGAAATAAACAGAAAAAAATCCACTATTCCCGATGAGAGGGAGTTCAAGTCCCTGACTGTGCACGGGAAAAATGTCACCTGTCTGTACGCTGTATCAAAAATAATTATAATAGCCTTGCGATGACGGTATCATGAATGTATGAAAAATCTAAAGACGCAGACACAATTTTAATGTTAACGAAACAAAAAAAAAGTTTTAACGTCTTTTGTGTTTTTCAACAGAACAATGGCGTCTATCTTTTGAAAACTACTACATAAACAAGAATGTAAATAGGATTCCCAAAGCGCTCCGCGTCATCGCCAAACAACTGGACAGCAAGGGAGGCATCGTTACTCTGGACTCGGACCATCCAGACAGTTACATGATTTCCGTCTTCCTCATGGATTATTTGGTGGAGAAATCCGGATACAATATAGTTAGTATTTCGGAATGTCTGGAGTAAATTATGTGCCCTATATAACATAAGAGAAGTTTATCTACGACACATTTGCACAGGTCGAACATAATGGTAGTGTGTAAATATAGCTCAGTTCAACATAAGCAATTACTGATCTCAAAAATGGGTTTGAAGATAAACTAAAAAAGGCTACAATTGTGTAAATTTAGACGTTTTAATAGGTTTCAAGTTAAGTCCCATGCATGTTGTATTTGCGCCTAAATAATTCAAGCCTATTATATTCCGAAAGGGATACTGAGACGAGGGGGGGGGGTCTTTTGAGGACCGTCTCCCGTAATGCACATTTAAAAACCGGGGCCGGCCTGGAAGTGTTACGGAACGGAAAATGTGATATAAAAGACGAAAAAGCAACAAAAAAAGGTGAAAAGAATCAATAATGGCAACTTTCTTCGTATATCGTTGCTATAAATTGTTGATTTTTCATCTAAACAGCCCTGCCGGGTCCCGGTTTGGAAATGTGACCTCAGCATTGATCCTATATAGACCTGGATTTTTGGGGATTCGTAAGACGGGGGTGGGGGCTCATTGTCCCCCCTGAGAACTCGTGTACGATATATCGTATGGAATTTAAGAGGATGATGCTCTAGTAAAAAAAAATCATAAGAAGATTTTTGATGACGTCAGGAAGAAATATGACGTAATTCTGACTTAATTAATCTGGTTATTCTCGTAAAACTTAATGACATACAACATAACTAACAGAAAAATCCAAAAATAGGATATTTAGGTCTACTAATTATAAGACTTATGTTGCCCAAAGCAACACCGGTGACGTCCTAAAATTATCCGCCATCTTGGATAGTCAATCTTGAATTAAAAAGTTGTTGATTAAATTTTAACTAGAATTATCTGTATATACCTGCTCTGATTATATTGTCCACCATCTTGAATTTTGACTATTAACGTCATCAAATTTGCATAAGTTATGCATGTCTAATGATAAAAATTACAGAAAATTACATTAGATGTTATTGATATTAAAAAGCATATGTAACCTAAAAAAGTTTATTGTTGAAAAGAAAATTTCGCAAAAATGCTTGTGAGAAACGCAACACTAAAAATTCAATTAAGTACACGCATACGAAATAATTGCCTATTTTAGAAAAAAATCACCAAGTCTGGTGGTCATAGCACAAGCCGTTCAGACGCTGACATCATAGTTGGCGCGGGCACTTTTAGCCCCCCCCCCCAACCCCAACAAGACATTTTTTTTAATGTATGTGATTTTTTGGCTTACATCTGTTCTAAAAGTGTCCACGACAGTTGGTAAAGTTTCCATTCTAATTATAAGGAAGGGTATAGGGTTACCAGGGGTTCCGTGCGTGGTTTCCGGGACTCTTTCTTCGAAATGAAATAAACAAAACGCATTGCATATATCTGAAATGTTGTTTTGTTGATTACATTGCTTAAATGTGTGTGGAATCAATCTTTAGCGTGTTGAAAGATGATTCTAGAACAATCGATATCAATAACCACTCAGCAGAGCTAAGGCGGCCCAGGGCATATTCTAGCTACCACTTAGGTCCTGAATAAAACTTGTAATAACTCGACAATACATGTTTCAAAATGGCTCAAATTTGCAGGGGAGATAAATTAGATGAATATCAGTGCGTCTAAATAAATTTGATGTTGTTATGTTAAGTCTATTTGTTTAGATTATGAAAATAATAATGCCATTATTTTTGGTAAAAAATGGAGTTTGCAGAACTATTCCCAAAGTCCAACAGTCACAGTTTTTTGCATACAGCTGCTGACACATACCTTCTAACAGAAACTGGTGAGTTAAATCAAGATTTCCTTTCCTTTGTTTTGAAAAATTGTTTTTTATGAATATCATTGATAGATTTTGAGGGTAGCTCTTTAGAAATTGGCTAATAACAAAATGTAGCAATCATTTAACAAAATATTCATATCGTTTTGGTGTAGAACGGGACATGACGCATCATTTGACATACTTGTTTTCCTTCCTGAAAGGTGGCTATAGTTCTTTAAAATCGTTCAAAGTTTGTACTACAAATTTGTAGCAGGAAAGCCACATTTTGCCCATTTTCTCCCATCAATCACAATTAATCATGTTGACAGCCACATCAATTAGGTGTTTTAGCACCTCCATGAGACACAATTATGAGCCATCCGCATTTGCATAAGGACGTATTGTTATGCGCAGTTCTGTGAGTCAGGGACTGTCACATTGTTGTCTTTACCTTACTTGAAAGGAGGTTGGTTGAAAGAGAGAAGACAAAACGAAACGAAAAAAAAGGTGCAAATGCCAAAAGTCTTCATAACAAAGGCTGAAGAACATTTATTACCGTATTTTAGCTAGTTTTGCTCAACAATCTATGGTATATATACATAATTTCCTCTCAGAAAATGGACTGGGAGACTCGTATCACGAGATCCAGTGATTCAAGTAGGCAGATAATAAAATGGGTTGCAAAGTAGCAAAAATTACATGATGTGTTGTGATTGTTTAAATATCACGCACGGGAAGGGCATTTTTTTCTATCAGGCTGCTTCTAACTAGCCTGGGCGCCAGACTGTTTCCAGGGCGTACAATTAGGCCCGCTTCTCGGGTCCCGGACTAACATGCCCCCGAAGAAATTTTACCACAGAGCCTCT